TCTGCATCGTGTTAAAACACGTGCAAAAAAGTCTAAGCCATTCCACCGTTAAAAACGCTACCAAAACAGCAGGAAATAAGTGTAGAGATGCTTGCACTGCGGCAGGAGAAGGCACAACTGGTAGTCGAAGACAATGGGCAGTCATTATGCTAGAGTATTTCCACTGTACGGCACACAAGTAATCACCCGGATTAATCTGAAACTACTTTCTCTTTTTTGCTTCGCTCTTCGCAGCTTTATCGCCTTTTCTGTTCCGTGTTCCTTCATCAGCCGACTCCTCTGCAATTATATGAACATCAGATGAGTATCACTTCCAGTCTTAACAACCACAGAATCAGTCCTCGTGACAAACAGTCCGCAGTGCATGGAGCAAACGCGTCCAACGCAAGATTGCTTGTTAAGCGTCACTTTCAGCAGGATAAAAACACAAACTTCAAATAATAAAAAGAGCACAAACCGTCCTGAGAATTTCTTTCATTCTGTGACTGATCGTCATCTCTCCTCTTCCCGTCATCCTGATAAAGAAGCACCCAGTTACAACTCAATATTTACTACACTGTTTACACATTGCTACATTTTTAAAACTTCATAGTAATATGATAAAATGAGATTGTCAAAGAGTGCACTACTAATTGACAAGTACCTATGACGGGCAGGACAATTATTCAGGGGTGAATCCCTTCCTTGAACGTGCCGGAAAAACATCAGGCAGCTGATGTAAGTTTCATATACGCAAGCAGTGAACAGAACTGACAGGGAATGGTTCGCGAGAACTACTTTTCGCTGAGCGATGCATATCTTTTAAATAATGAAAGATGCAGCCTGAAAAGCGCACATAGCTGAAGCTGCAGAAAGTGCCCGTGATTTGAAATCTGGCAGACTGCGCACTTTACGATACGAATCGTAACTTGCTCTTGGTCTGACGGAGAAGGCAGCAACTATCTCTCACTAGATCGGCATCGATTTTTTTCGCCCCAGTTCGGAGAAAGGCAAAGGCAATTCGAATCACCCGCTACTCCGGACACATTCGCAGCAAACCCGCACAAAAACAAGGCGTGAATTTCGCCGGCAACAAAGTACTCTAGCTAGAGCCAACTGGCTGGCTGCCCCCTTAGACAACAGACAAACAGTCATGATGCACAGCAGTGCAGTTAAAAATATCCCGCTCTTCACAACTTCTGGATGAATTATTTCCTCACAGAGCAAACAGCTTAAATTTTTTTTTTTGTTTGTGGAAAAAGTACCTTCTTAGATTTGGACTTCTGCTCCTTCTTTGAGGATTTTTTATCAGCTTTGCTTTGCTGTCCGGCCGTTGGGAATACTCGGTCGATGATGCAAACAATGAAGAAGCCAAGTACACAACCAAGCGCCAATGTTATGCCAGCAAAAATACAATACGAAGCCCACGATGGAATGCCCACTAAAAAGAGTTCATTTTCTTCTACAGCAAAAACGTCGAAACAACCAATCCCACTCGTTCATTCATTTATTTCAACGGAAAGTGGCATTGGCGCACGATGGGGAGTCAAAATCGAGGCTGTAGACAAATTCTGGCGGAGGAAGTACTCGAAAGTCTCGCCAGGCGTTTGCTTGCTATCGGACAAAGCATGGGCTGTTTCCGAGTGTCTTCGTCTGTTGCAAAAAGAGATTCTGAGTTTGATTTACAAATCAAAAAAAATTAAGTTTCTTAGTATAAAGCATTTATTGAACAGCTTTTCTGCCTGAGATTGTTGTTGTTTGTTAGTTACACGAACGACAAAAATTTCATCACGATAATGTGATGTGCTTCCATTCTGTGCGAGACAAAATGTTCGTTGTGCTGAGAAGCCAGATGCACGGCGGCAGCAGAACAGCGAGTAACACCGTCAAACCAGAGGAAGATTCTCAAAAACAACTCCGTCCGGACCAATGATACGTACACAGAGCGCGCATAATGGACAGCAAGAGGAAGCAAGGCAGTCCAGAAAAAAACCACTTCACGTAGCATTATTTGGTAGTGCAGTTGGATGAAATGAAGAGGTCGCAGTAGACACAAACGGACCTGATGCAACCAGCTCGAGGCC